CCCCCCCCTCCCTTCCCTTGAAAAAAACCTGAAATGACGCCCTTGATGGGCATAGTCTATAGTAGCTGATTTATCATTTTCATCTTGCGGAACTGATATACCAGACAAGTCAACATCATCCTTATCTAACTATTCAGCACTTAAAATCGAAGCAATGTCTGTGTGAGCAATAGTTGCCATAAGCTCTCTCTGTCTCTGAGTTGGTGTAGTTGTTATTGAACACCGATGAGTTGTGGTTTTATTGAACACCGTGTACAATGATGCGTTTATCATTCTAGGGAGCGGATTAAGAGAAAAATGACAGGTGAATAGATGCCAACTTTTGGCTTCTCTTGCTCTAACAAAGTGTGCTAACATTCTGACCAGCCATCTGCAGTGCACACAGACACACAGGGCCGGCCCTCACAATTGCGGGGCCCTATGCGAAACGGATTGCGCGGGGCCCAGTCTGGGTAGGGATAAGGATAATAAGGGAAAATTATGATTTTGTATTAGAAAATAAATTCGTCTTTGCATTTTATTCATTCTTTACTAATTACAAAATCACGATCAAATTAACTTTACTTTACGAGCCTTGCGTGTATCGAAGTCACATAGTATATAATCAAAATTCTTTTTCCTACATAGATCACGCTCAATATCAAGAATTGCCACATTGTTCAAACTATCTTCGTGAATTGTTGACCTCAAGATTCTTGATTAGTTTGAGGCGCGAGAAGCGTCTTTCACCAGATGCCACAGTTACGGGGATTGTTAAAAATATTCTGAGTGCAACAAAGTAGTTTGGGAAAGCAGTGGATCTTTCATTAGTGGACAGATAAGCCAAAATTTCTACCGGGGTTCTGGTGGTATTTGGTAGAATATGCCTTAAAGATTCCATTTCATCTGCTAATTCTCCCCCACATATACCTGCTGACTGGTCTGTTGATGACGTCAATGCTTGCTGAGGCTCACAGTAAACGTTCGTATGTCATCACGCTGATGGCTCTTGAAGCTGACAAGAAACCCAAATAGATTGTGATTTGATTTCAGCTGTTCAAATCTCGGCTGCAAGGATTGAATTGCAGTGTCCACAATTCTGTTGAAGCAATTTATCCTGTAGTCATCTTCAAAACTTCCAGGTGTGAAGTTTTCCACTGATTTATCATACTGCATTTTCCTTTGACGTTTGGTTGGAAAGATTGCAACAACTTCCATGCTTTTAGCCAATTCCTTTGCTGTAACAAGAATCTGAACAAACCCATCAACTCTCAGTTTCCTTAGCCAAGTCATCAAGTTGTTGTACGAATCCATTGCAGGCTTAAATCTACTGTTTCAACTTGCAGTTCTTTACTCACAAAATTGACTTGGAAGAGCACGTCGTACCATAACACAAGTGACACTAAGATATTGAACTGCTTCAATGTTTCATACAGTGTTTCTGCTTCCCTTTTAATTATCGCATCACAGTCTCTTCAGCTAATTCATCGAGTGCGTCACAAATTTCGGGCAATTGATGACTAAGTGCGTTGACACTATCTATTCTACATTCCCACCTTGTTTCGCACACAAGTTTTACAGACAGATTGGAAACACCCGAGCAGCTAAAATTTTATTCAATTTTATTTACTTGTCGTAATGACTTGAAAAAAACGACGCAATAGATTAAAAAGACACTGTTAGAACATAAAAACAGAATAAACACGCTGACCTATACATGATTATAAGTTATAATGGTTTAAGTTAATAATTTACTGCTAGAGTTAGCGCGGGGCCTATGAAAGTGCGGGGCCCACTGCGGCCGCATAGGTTGCATTGGCCTAAGCCCGGCCCTGCAGACACACACTAAATAACTCTTATATTTTCAAAGCTGCAAACCTGTCAATCACTTGAGCAAAATCAATATCCTTCACCATATCTATTTTAATTGATTTTAGAGCCAGATCAAAAAGCCTTGACTGTCCCATTGAGGATCGTGAATAGTTCTTGATAAGCCTTTATTTTGAAAGGCTCTGATCACATGAAGCCACATACACACAGATCGTAAGAAACAATCGAAGGCCTAGCGAGAGTATTGGAAGATATTCTATGAAGTCTCATTCAACTATGAATTTAAAAACATTTAAATACTGACCAGTCCATGACTTTCTGAAATTCAATATGAGCTGCCTTTAGGTGTCTTCTAAGCCCTAATATTTCTTTTAAAAGCTCATCTTCTGATAATTCAACATAGAAAGAGGTTAATTTTGGAACGGACATCAATAACTCTTCACTATCTGATAGTAGACTCTTGGGGAAAAAAGCCCAAAACATATATGCTACTTTCTTGGTCGTAGATGATCTGATCTGGGGTTCAGAATGAAAGCTATCAATACACTCCAGCATTTCCATACTGTTTTCTTCAGGCAGAGAGAGTCCAGCCTCTATTAACTGTTCTCCTGCCAGTCTCTTCTTAAACCGTAATCTTCTTTCTACAGAAATTCTATAATTTGTCTTATTTTAAAAGTGCCTTTTCAATGCCATGTTCCACCAAGTGGCAGCGCTTCTCGTGGAGAAACAATTTTGAGGCTTCTAGGTTGGTCACCACTTTGCCAAGAGTAAAGCCTTTGATCTGCAGTTACTGCAGATTAATTTTCTTAAGTAGATGAGCCCAAATGGAAATGTAGCGGATAACCGACGTGAAATCACAGAAAGCATGTAAAAGATATTGTACTTTATGACAAGAGTGCTTGAATGCTAAGCGGCGGTGCTAGTGGCGAAAATATTTATTTTTGAGTATGTTTTAGTTCTAATATTATATTTTGATTCAAAAACAATTTGTTTACATTTAAATAAAAGATATGAGAACATTTTGTAAAATATTATTTTGTTAACTCTATAAATGGATAAAGAGAAATTTTTGGAAGTATTTAATTTTTACCGATTCGATACATGTACTGAGAATCGCTCGACCACGTCATATTTTGTATCAATGGAATGCTTTATTTCTCAGAAGTTAGATAAATATAGCTTCCTGTCACTTACGAAAGTTACTGAACACGTCAGTCATGGTCAAAACGGTGTTTTTCTGAACTAATTATAGGGTCACCCCATTTATGAGGCATCAATCTTGAACTTTTCATAAGGCACACATAGGGAATGGTTACGTGTGTGAAAAATTTTCGTGTGATCGGTTATCCATTTATGAAATTCGGTTTGACCGAACAGTTTTTTTTTTCTCTGCGAATATGCATTTTTTTTTCAATTTGGTGTCACCCCTGAAATGCTGTCACCCAGTGCGATCCTCCCCACCTCCCACATCCCACCTCCAAGTGACGCCACTGAGACAACGCAGAAGTTTTGATCTGAATTAATAAATGTAGGCTTATGTCCTATTTTAACTACTTTAAAGCGATTTTAATGGGACAACTTTTAAAACATAACTCCTTTATATGTGCGAGGGGATGTGGTACTGGGCTATCCTTGGCATAACTAAAACGGTACTTTATGGAATTTGTCATAGTTACGTTATTTATAATGCTTGTTACAGAAAAAAAAATACAAAGAGAAGTGATTAAAGTTATTAAATGTATTCTCAGGGTTATATAGGGGCATGTAAAAGCTATTTGAAATGATTGTTTAGTTTTTGTATAGTAGAAACGGGTGCAGGGCCAAAGGCAGAGGTTCCCCTGCCAAGGGTCTGGTTAGTGATTCCCCAGGTCCGTGCCGTGGGATCGAGCTACACTGGCAAGGGCCTTGTGAGTGACTCCCCAGGTCCATGAAGTGGGATCGAGTGCCGTGGTTAAAAAAAATCAATATTTAAAATGAAGGTCAGTTTCAATAAACATTAAATTATTTTTTTTAAATTTCAATTCGAAGAAAATACCTTCTTCTGGTTAATAAGTGTTTCATGTCCGTATTTGCTAGTACTGGTCGTAATAAAGGATGCACGTGAGCAGCAGTGAGTCTGAACATTAAGGAGGCTACCAGGAAGTCTTTCGGAGAGGCTTTCAGAGAGTCACAATTCTGTAGTTCGTCCAGATCCATTGTGCAAATCAGTAAATATATATATATATTATATATATATATATATATATGTGTGTGTGTGTGTGTGTGTAAAATGGGATCAACATTTTAAAGTCAACAGAAAATGGGTTATAGAAGAGCTGTATGTACTATTCAAAGAGTCGAAGCTCTTTCAGTCTAATTTGAAACTCCTTTTTACAACACTTCCATTCATCTAATTGGAAACTATTTTGCTACAGCCCACGTAGGGCTTTGGCCTGCCTCACTACTTCCTTCCACGCTGATCTAACTAAGGCTTTTCTTTTCCATGCTTGGATTCGCAGCTGCTGTAGATCTTTTTCAACATCGTCCATCCACCTAAGTCTATGTCTGACTTTGAGCCGTTTTCCTCTGGGGTTTTGGTGATGTACCCTCTTCACTTCTGTCATTTGTCAATTTTGTTGGGAAAAGCAATTAATGATCTTTGTTAAAGTGTTTATCGAACATATCAGAAGTAGATGAAACTATATTTCTTTGCAACATGAAGTGTTGATATCGATACGATATTTAAAAAAAAAAACATTAAATACTTATATCGAACTTTTACTCAGTAGTTGTGCAGTCTCGGTTGTGGAGTCAGAATATTGTGAGGATTGTAAGATAATTGCTCGGGCAAAGGGGGGGGGGCTGCAAACTTAAAGGGATCGTGTTGAACAATGGTTTGAGACCCCTTAGAAATTCATTTTCATGGTACTTTCTTGTTCATTTATTTAATTTTAATAAAAAGGTAGATATGAAATGAAAGATATGATATGGGATGATATGGGAGATTTGAAATGGGAGATATGATATGGGAAATATGTTATGGGAGATATGATATGGGTGATTTAAAAATAAATCCTAATTAACGTCTGGTTATGGTGGTAAGTTTTTTTTATAAATTCATTTGAATTCAAAAATATTTCAGCACTAAAATGGTTATTTATTCATAGCATAACAGGAATTTAATTATTTTTTTTCCTAAATAAATATACGTGCTTGTGACAGCCAACTTTATTTTTGAAGGCATACGTTTTCAATAACAATGAGTCATCAAAGTTTAGCCTTTTTTGTCCTTGAACATAATCTACACATACACAAAAACAGGATGAAAAACTGTATTACAGCCAGAGCGATGAGACAACCCACAACAATCCAGAATGTTCTAATCGCTATTTGATCTGGAAAGGAAAATGGTTGAAAAATATTATATATGCACAGCTCTAAAAACTATATCCTATTTAAAGCATAAATATTTGAAATGATGTCCATTTTACATGTGGTTAACAATATGTTCAAGAAAAATTGCATTAACATTTTCAAACTTCATGATTGCTTGACTCGCCACACTGAATAAATGCTTTTCCCAGGTCCGTAGTCAATGTGTAATAACTGCATTTATTTACCAACTTTAAACAAGGGTATGCCATAGGTGGGAGTAAGCAGCCAATCAGGTTGTGCTGGCTGTTTTTCAACGGTCTATTGAAACCGATTTATATCAAACTTCAAATCGTTTAGTTTGGTTTTAAAACAAAAATCAATTTTTCAGCGATAAAGAACAATAAACCGTCAATGAATTTTGTGAAATTATAAATTATTGCCATTCAATGTTTTACTCACCCTCATCACTACCCCCATTATTTGGTACATCGATTTCATTTTTTAGTTTGCCCGTGTAGAGAAAATCTCCACATTTGGGGAAGTCACTCGGGGGCGGCGGATGGTGGCCGAAAGATTCATTGAGCATAAGAACCATTCCATCCAACATGTGCAGCTCAATATGACAGTGCATCAACCAGACACCCGGGTTATCTGTCCTTATACGTACTACAACATACCTGGAGTAGAAGAAGAGTAGAGGTTCTGTTGGTTAATGTAGCAACCATTGATGCCCTAGGCTAACATGTCTCATAACTTTAATTTAATTAAATGCATACGTAGCCTAAGCATTTTTTAAAAATACCATTCACATGTAATGTAAAACATGTTTTAGTGATGGAACAAGACTATTAATCATTTATCATTTATAGAATGATATATGAAAAAGATTTTTAAAAATTCTAGGGCGAAATTATGTCAATGTCATTTCTATTTTGAATACATAAAAGATAAAGAGAGTTAGACAAATTATTAAAGCATCTGAGGAAGACAGTCATCAAGTTGTCCTTAAAATTATTGTGATGTTTACTAAATAACTTTGTGAATCTAAATTTTACGTTAACCTACTTAATTAGGAATTGTTTTATAAAAGAAACTTTTTTTACTCTAAAGTAGTAGTTAGGATTTGATTTTTTTAAAATGAATTTCAACTTTAACAGAAAGCATGGGCGTAGGAAGGGGTACGGAGAGGGTCGTCTGCCCCGGGAGCCAGTTGTCGGGGCACTGCATAGTTTTATCGTGGAAGGTGAGGCAAAAAATCTTGGTCCACCCTCAGGTGGCACTGAAACCAGATACGCCATCGACAGAAAGCCGTTCTTGTGGACTTGATGATTGTTTCTTATCTGCAATGACGCATTTTTGAAAATATTAATTTCACTGACTCACCCTCCAGTCGGAACTGTAATGGTATCTTTGACAGGAGGCAACTCTAGTTCAAGACCAGGAACGGTGTTACCTCCCCATGAACTATTTGCCCAGCTTGCGGTATTGCAGTAACTTTTCTCTCTGTCAGGATTTCCCCGGCAGGCAATGTCTAGATTGTCATGAAGTACTTTCCCTGGTTTAAAACAAATTTAAAAATTATTGAATACAGCACTTCATTTTTAGTTGAAATTTGACATTGGGTTTTGTATGTTGTAATTAATTTAAATATTGCTGAATCATCACCCATCTCTGCACACATCGCTGCAGTTGTAATTTTAGACTTTTCATTATTTCTTTTTTTTTTTAAAATAAATTCATATTATACATTTATACTTACTCTATTTTTTAAAAAGCACCAACTCCCCCCCACCCCCTTTTTTTTTCTTTAGCTGCAAAATGAAGCTGCTTTTTTTTTTAATAATTTTTATTTTAGATTTTTAATTTTTTACTTTTCATTATTTTTTTTTTTTTTTAAAATAAATTCATATTATACATTTATACTTACTCTATTTTTTAAAAAGCACCAACTCCCCCCCACCCCCTTTTTTTTTCTTTAGCTGCAAAATGAAGCTGCTTTATTTTTAAATAATTTATATTATAGAAATAATAATAACCATATTTTATTCTAGATGATAAAAATTGTTTAACTTTGTATCAGTTATAAATTGAATTGGATGTTTTGTCTGACATTTTTCATTGACGATCTACCTGAGAACTTCTCTACCATTTGTCACTGAGGTTCCATATGAGGATTTATCTAACAGTTGTCATCGAGGATTCATATAAGGATGTCTCTAACATTTGTCACTGAGTTTCTATATGAGGATTTATCTAACAGTTGTCATCGAGGATTCATATAAGGATGTCTCTAACATTTGTCACTGAGTTTCTATATGAGGATTTCACTAACATTTGTCATTGATGGTCCATATCAGGATTTCTCTAACAGTTGTCATTCAGGTTCCATATAAGGATTTATCTAACAGTTGTCACTGAAGTTCAATAGGAGGGTTTCTCAAAAATGTGTCATTGACGATCCACATGAGGATTTCTCAAAAAAAAAAGAGGAAGCTCAAGAGTTCTATTGAATCTTCTTGTCTCACCTGTAGTCTCGTTATAAGTTGGGAATCCCATCTTGACCACATGAAAACTGTGACCATGCATGTGGATGGGATGGGCCCATCCTTTGCCTACACCCATGTTTAGAAACACAAATTGATAGACTCTGTTGTACTGTTAAGACAGATAAATAATGCATTTTTAAAAATTTACAAGACAAGAAACGTGCATTCTATGCGTACTTTTAAAGACCTTTTTTAAAACAAATCCATATAACATAAAACAGCCTATCTAAAGAAGATCAAGAAAACAGCACCACTTAATATATATAAATGTATCTGATTCACATCCTATGTCTGGAACAAACGCTAAGAGAGGAGACGGGTAAATAGTTTTGCACTTAGAGCATACACAGTTCGACACCTTTAAATTACAACAATGAAATGAATTGAAGAAAAAAATGTAAGACGCTAAAAAGCAGCTGATAAAAATGAGCAGCAAACCTTAAAGGCGCTAAGCGTGCTTTATATACCAGATAATTCTTAACTAAATCTCAATACAGTATGTAAATAGCGATATTGTTTGTGCAGGGCAAAGCTTACAAATTTCTACGTCCTAGGCCAAAGCACGTAATTTATGCCCCCCTTCCCCCCCCCCCAGACCTTCCCTCGAAATGTTTAAATAAACTTTCCAATTTAATAAATGTGATCGTTCATTTCTGAGACATTAATCCATGCACGCCAAGCTGTAAGGTTGACCCGTCCTGTGAACGGCTTTAACTGGTTTTCGGCTAGTACGGCTGTACAGGATTCTGCACGGTTTCTCAGTGGATTAGGGAAAAAAGTGTATCCCCACAACCTATAAGCTCGCTCTCTCGTTCTGAAAAACCGCTCAATTCTGATGGCAGACCCTGTCACAAATGAGATTTTCAGAAAACCTCCTCTTTTCGCTTTCCGGAGGGACAAGAGCCTTAGGGACATGCTAGTTAGAAGCCACCTCCCTGCTATTAAAGCCCGTAAAGGCACAAAGAGTTGCAACCGTAGCCATTGTAGCTCATGTCCTTACGTGATCTAAACTGATAAGATCACTTTCCCTCTGGAAGTATTCAGAATAAAAGATGGCTTTACCTGCACAAGTCGCAACGTGATTTACACCATCATTTGCAAAAAGTGCGGTAAATTATACATAGGAGAGACAGGTCGTCGCCTTGGGGACCGGTTCAGAGAGCACCTCAATAACATAAATAAACACGCTCTATGTCCTGTCTCCAAACATTTCAATAGCCCCAACCATGATGGTATCTCAGACATCGCAGTTACTGGTATACTCTATACTAGTAACACTACAGATAGAATCTATATGGAGAACAAATTAATAACTAGATTTAGTACGTTGTCTCCATATGGAATGAACAAAATCCACAATTTTACTTAACTGCCATGCCTTTTTCCTGTTTTCTTTTTAAATTATGTTTAAATTACTTCCTTCCTACTTCTCTATACTTTGTTTTTCTCTGGTTTTAGCGCCCTCTCCTATTTTTCTGTTTTAGGTAGGATATGTATATTTATATTATGTAAATTTAATTTATACTTACTTAAATGTGTTTTTTTTTTTGTTTTGCACTGATGACGGCATGTGCCGAAACGTTTACTTGTGTATAATGTATAATTATTATTAAAGCGTAATTTTTATTGTTATATTGACACAATTTGTTCGTAACTACTTGAAGTAGTAAATCATGCCTACAAATCTTTCTGTAGTAACTATTAAGTAGTAAACCATTATCACAACTCTTTCTGTGTAATTCTTATTATAATTCCAAACACTTAATATCAAAAGCACCCATGATATTAACAAAAAACTATTCACATAAAAAATGAGATGATAAATTGACAGTGAACTTAATAACTTTGTCAAGATGGAAGGAATGCATTTCAATTTGTTGATTTAACTACAGGAATCTGTATAACTACAGCTAACATAATTAACAGAATAATAATCTCATTATATGTAATTGCTATCAAATTCATCATCTTAGTAAATTTCAAACAATATACCGATATCAGTCTAATATCAAATTCTGGTGAAATTTGTCTTTAAATAAGTTTTTTTTTTTTTAAAAAACGCCATCTTTCCCGATGTAAATATGTTAAAATTGTCCACAATGAAGGGGGGATTGTTTATGAAAATTAGGCCTATCAAGGAGGCAGCATTGACGTGTAGGTCATCCTAGACAAGACAGCATCCATGATGTAAGGTCACCTTAGACTATAAACCAACATTGATGTAAGATTACCCTAGACTAGACATCCACATTGATACATGAGTGACCCTAGACCAGTGGTCGACAAACGGATTAGTCAAAAGAGCCAAAAATCAGTAGCAGGACGATTAAAAAAAAAAATTTTGAGAGCCACATTTCTTTTCAAGAACCTGTCAAGGACCATGTTTTTTCGGAGTCAAAACCGATTTAAAGCCGACTGGTCGAGCCGCACTCAGGGTGCTAAGGAGCTGCATGCGAGCCAGGATTTTTTTTTTTTGGCGACCACTGCCCTATACTAGACAGCAGCATTGATGCTTGGGTCACCCTAGACTGGACAGCAGTATGGATGCTTGGGTCACCCTAGACTGGATCACACTCAAAAAGAAAGCAACTGATCTTTTATGACTTGATTTTACATATTCTTATATTACCTCTAGATTTATTGTATAAGGACATTTGCAGACTTTTTCATCTCCACATTCATCATTGTTACAAGCTGTTGTTACTTCTTGGGGCTGAGTCAAGACAGGGACTGTCGGGAACTGAAATCAAATATTCATATTAGTCGTCTTTTATACCTATTAAGAAACCTAGTTCACAATAAATACATTAAACAGCCCCTAAAAACACAGTTTTTCATAAAAAATAAAATGTAACATCGAGCAGTGGGGAGGAGGCTGAAAATTTAACAAAACTTGCAGACAAGTAACGCACTTGACGAGAATCCCAATTAGTCCCATCCCCCATTTTTTTCACGCCCCTAAACTCTATTAATATTCTAATGACGCAACCACTTTTACACAGCAGATTCATTTCACCAACTATTTGAGAAAAAAACCAAAGAAATATTACGCACCAAACGCCCTTATGGTATATTGAACAATCTCATTTAGCGCAGTTATCAGGAGTTTTACTTTGCACGCTTTTGAACTCACCATTACACCATACTTTCTTTCATACCTAGAGTTTTATATGTATTGATTTTCTTTGTTGATTTTGTGAGGAACAAACAATGAGGCTGATCTGGCATTATTTTTTATTTTATAATAAGGTTGAGACTACGATCATGCTTAAGAAAATATAAAAACAGGTCATTGGAAAACGTGAAAGATGACACAACAGGCAGGCGAAGTGGCTTAGCTACCGTTAGTGGCACCCGGGGATGGCTTAGCTACCGTTAGTGGCACCCGGGGATGGCTTAGCTACCGTTAGTGGCACCCGGGCTCCATGGCTTAGCTACCGTTAGTGGCACCCGGGGATGGCTTAGCTACCGTTAGTGGCAGCCGGGGATGGCTGAGCTACCGTTAGTGGCACCCGGGCTCCATGGCTTAGCTACCGTTAGTGGCACCCGGGCTCCATGGCTTAGCTACCGTTAGTGGCACGCCGGGGCTGGAGAGGATTCTTTCCTCACAAAAAAAAAAACATCTACAGTAGCCTGAAAATGCCCCCTCCCTTTTGAATCCTAAAGAAAATATGCCTTCCCCTCCTATATACACCTCTGGGTAGGGGATCAATTACGAGTTTCCGATCGGTCTTTGAACAGCATCCAGCTTTATAAGACATATTTTGTAAACAAAATTAATAAATAATGTCTCATTTTTCCTTTTATTGTGTTTTCTCCGACACTGTGTTTCTTCATGATTTATAACAACTGTCTTTATTGTGACGATAATAAACCAGATTTCATGGAGAAAGCGAGGTTGTTGTTTTTTACTCATATTCTAAACATTTAGTTATGCCACTGCATTCATTGACACATTTTAGAAATGTGTTTTGTCACTCTCATACCGTAGACATTCGAGTCTCAAAGCTCTATCTCAATTTGTTGCTTACCATAAAAGTTCTTCCACTGACACCACCGTGAATGGGTGATTGTGATATTCTTATAGGAAAGGCAAAGTTGAGGAAAACGTCTTCTATATTATCTTCTGTCTGTGTTCTGTTCCCACCAGGTGTGCTGTGGCCCACGGTCGTCTTCAGCTGCCCTAAATTCACGCAGTCGGTGAACGCTCCATCTGGGTAGTAAGAAAATGGACAGTTGACCACAAGACACCTGTAAAGGGAGAGTGCATTGTTAGACTTGTGTCAGAATGGCATAGCTCTACTAGCATAATAAATATCATATTTGTCTCACTTGTGATGGGCTTTCTGTGTTTTGTTACCTGAATATGCACTTAAAAGATTCATAGTTATGTTTTGTTGATGATGTTGTTGTTTTTATCGTTGTTGTCGTTATTGTTGTTTTTCATTTAAGATTGAATCCAACTACTACAATTGTGAAACTTTAAAAAAAATGAAATACACTTAAGACTGAGTAATTAATCATCTTTTTAAAACCTGCAAAATTTCCAACCTATCATTTGCTGTACAATTTTTTCTACTGGTCTTTGGTTCCTCATCCGGTGCACCCTCATATCTTAGAATGGCTTCAGCTACATGGTTCTGAACATTCACCTCCAGAGTGACTGCCCTTATCCAATAATTTCCAACAGTCTGATTGGCTGCGACCACAAAATCATATCGTTCGCCTTCGTTAACAATAATTGACTCCACAACCACTGGTTGTAATTCACAGCTGTTGACACATTAAAACAAATAACACCTTAATACATTTTTGGCATTTAAAAAAAAATGCTAACAATTTCAGATGTAAGTTAAATACTTAAAATCGTAAATTCAGTACTAAAACTAAAACAAGAATGAATAAATTGTTCTGTGTAAGCCCCCCCCCCCTTCTTTTTGTGGGTTTATTTAAATGCTAAATGTTAACTACCCATCAGAAGCCACCAGTGTAATGGGATGGCCGTCAATGGAAACTCTAAACGGGTAAACACTCCCAGCTCCCACCACACGGAACCTGTTGGAAAGATGAAATAAAATATGGTATTTAATTTTAGCAAATAAAATTCATTACAATTTTAAAAAATCGCTTCCAGTATTTTTGACATGTAAATATGTCGTTGTCGATGACGTAGTGTGATGATTGCGAAGTCAAAACACTTGTTTCACCTTTATATATAATACTAGCCGATGTACCCGACGTTGTCCGAGAGTGCATTCGGAAAAAAACAAACAAACTTATGCGGGCTTTTAGAAAATATTGAACTTAACTTAAGGACCCTGTAAAAAAACACATCGCTTAAGTAAAAAATAATAATATAATTTCCCTATAAAAACAGATTGATTCTAACTTATGTAAACATATTGTGCCTCAGTCCTTTTCATTTAATGTCAAAGACAAGTCCCAGTAAATAAACATGATTTAAAGTCTAATCAAACTTTTAAGAGTTGTCACATTATACAAATAAATTCACCATTGTCTAAGCCAGAGGTCCCCAAACTTTTTTGTCTCTAGACCACTTGCCATGTTTTTTTTGGTTTTGGGCAGACCCCCTGCTCATCTGATATTATTTTTTTTTCCGCTGACATGGGCCCCTTGCAAGTTGTCGTCGACCCCTGGGGGTCGATATAGACCACTTTAGGAACCTCTGGTCTAAGCTATAGCCGTTTATAAATGAAATTAAATAGGATCCCAAAGAAATCTCACTTCCTGGTTAAATAAAGTTCCCCGCCGATATCTCATTTCCGTGAGGATCCCATTCCCGGGTGGGATCCCATTCCCCGACGGTATTCCGTCCCTCCGAGGGATACTGTTCACCAATGAGGAGATCCATTCCCTGGTGCGATTAAGTTGGAACTTTCTGGGAACACTCAAAAGTATATATTAAATCGTATGCAATACCATTCGAGAAAACTCATAGAAAGATACTTCTATGCACTCCTGTAGTGATACCATCATGGGCGATGGAATTATTATCAAATGGGTTTGGGGGGGGGGGGGGGGGGGGTAGGGCAGATGATCCTGAAATTGCTGTATCGTTCACTACTAATCTAGTAAAAAAAAAATAGAAAAACTTTTTTTCCGCCCCACAACTTTGGGCTGAATTATTATCAAATGGGTTTGGGGGGGGGGGAGGGGGAGTAGGGCAGATGATCCTGAAATTGCTGTATCGTTCACTACTAATCTAGTAAAAAAAAAATAGAAAAACTTTTTTTCCGCATCACAACTTTGGGCCCCTTTAATATTCAACACACAGTGCAGCCACAGGGGTTGCAGGACCCACGTAACACAGGAGTTGCAGGACCCACGTGACGCAAGGGTTGCAGGGAAAACTTGACGGCTCTTTTGGTATCTACCTGTAAGAGCTGGAAGCATTGACTTTATACACTGTTAATGGAGCCTGGTTGTTACTGCCATCCGGGTAGTAGTAACGTCCCCTTCCATTGATGAGTCCCGATTGAAACGGGAGATTGCTTAGATAAAGGGGGGAAAACACAACTTTAGATGATTTTCATTTTTAAATTGGAATTTTAATATAGATACATATATATTTAAATCGATGCTTAAAATTTCTACCTCCAAATTTACTTTACACATCATTTAAAGCAGAGGCTGTCAACCTGTGGGTCACGACCTCTTTTGGGTGTCGAACGACCCTTACAGAAGGGTCGACTAAGACCATTGGATAACACATTTTATGAAGTAGCAACGAACATAATTGTTTTGCTTGAGGGTCACCACAACATGAGGACCTTTATTAAAGGGTCGCGGCATTAGGAAGGTTCAGAACCACTGCTTTAGAATTTGTGGGCCTACGTTAAATCAAACATCTCCTATTTTATTATGGCATTACGAAAATAAATTTCAATGGAGTTGACAGTTTAATCTCACCTAAAATGTGCACCTTCCAGGGACATTGTTTGTAGAACTTCTGTTCTGTTTACATAGTTGCCATACAATAATTTTGCATGGACCAAGTCAGCGTCCATGTCATGATTCCAGTCCTAGACAAAAGAAAATGATTTAAAGTTGTATTTTTAAAATTTTTTATTTAGTTGCCTAGTTTCCCTGACGAATGAATCATAAGTTATTGTTTTGCTCCCCCCGGGAGCATATTTTAAGTGACCCCGATGAAGTCGCCACCCATGTGTTTAGAACCACTGAACTAAAAATTGTAAAAGTTCATGAGGATCTCACTAACTACTTGGTCAGTTTCTACAATACTTATTCAATTATTTTATTCTTTTAAAATTTTTTTTGATTATTGTAAAACGTTGAAACTCAAGACCTACATGGGCCGAATATTTCAAACGAAGTGGCTATTCCGACCCGGTTCTCACAAGTGAGAGGTTGGGATTTTAAAAAATATTTAAAATATTATTGTAGGGGTGTAAGACAAATTCGGTATCAAATGAAAGATAATTGAATGGACTATATTTTTTAAAAAATTACTTCTTCAGTTTAACTAAAATAAACTACCACAAATGACATCCGAATATCATTTAGTCTAAAGGGACCCGGGTCCGAAAAGCGGCTATGCGTGTCGGTTTGTCTTACAAACCCAACAATAATATTTTTAATATTTATTAATAAACTCAACCTCTCACTTCTGGGACCCGGGTCCGAATAGACGCAGCCAGGGCTGGATTAACCATTAGGCAAACAAGGCACGTGCCTAGGGCACCAAGCATTGGGGGGGGGGCACCATAAGTCCTCAAGCATGGCATTAGCAAATCGCAAATGTAATATTGAATCGCACATTATTTAACCTTGGTCCCACAACCGGGGGGGGGGGGGGGAAAAAAAACCCCCCCCCCCTTTTTTTTGCTTTTTTTTTTTTTTTTCAGTTTTTTTTTTTTTTTTTTTTTTTTTTTTTTTTTTTTCAAGGTTTTTTTTTTTTGTGCTATTTTTTTTTTACTTTTCTGGGATATCTTTGTGCTAAGTAACGCACTAGTGTGTAGCGACAAATTCACTTCCGTTTTGGTCTGCTAGTGAAAACAATTGTGAATAGGGTCAGTCAAACTCTACAAAATGAGCACGTGAACTTGAAAACGTGTGCTGATTTGTATTCTTCACTAGCAGATCACTTCCATGAATCTAGGAATGAATTTGAAAGATTTGAAGAAGCTGCAAAAGATTTAAAAAACCACCAGATGTGGATTATAAGTCAACTTTGACCCGTAATCGTAAACGAAAGACAGTGGTCATTGATGGTGATGCCCCTGAGGTATCTCAGAATGCCAGAGACAAATTTCGTCTATCTGCTTTCTACACCATTGTTGACAAACTTGATAAAGAGATGAGTAGACGAGGACAGGTATATAATGATCTAGCAGTTCGATTTTCTTGTTTGGTCGATGTACCACAAACATCTCAGTGTTGAGAAGGGCTAATAAATGCTTAGCCTGAAGATCTTAACAATAATTTATATACTGAGCTACAACAGCTCCACTCATATATTCGCCCCAATTTTCGTGCATCAAAATCTGAGAACAACACGTTCAGTCATGCAGAACTCTACAAAGTAATAGTTAGAGACAACATCGAGTTTGCTTTTCCAAATGTAGAAATCGCCTTGCGCATATTTTTAACAATAATGGTTACGAACTGTTCAACTGAGCGCTCTTTTTCTCTGTTTAAACGTACAAAAAATCCAAGTAGATAGACAATGAAACAAGAGGGGCTTGATTCCTTATCTTTGATTGAGGCAGACTTGTTTCTCAAAATTAACTTTGATGATGCACTCAAAAACTTTGCCAGACGTAAATCTAGAAAAAAGAACTTAAAAATGTAATTGTGTGCGCTCTCTGACTTTCTTATCTATCAAAAAAGTTACAGTATTTTTGTCTACTATTATTACAGAATTAATTAACTATTAATTTTAATACAGAAATACCTTATTGTAGGTTTTATATGAGTGATAGTAGTACAAACATATGTGTTTACATTTCACAACTGTTTTTCTTTGTTAGTTTTTTGCATAATATTTAACATACCAGCATTCAGTGGAGGATCGCGGGCCCGGGGCAGTAGGGGGCACTCATGTGGGTTTGTGCCTAGGACACCAAGATGGCTTAATCCGGCCCTGACCGCAGCCTATTTGAAACGTAATCCACTTGACGGCAGCATGGAGACATGTTTCAGTTCTTCAGCAAAGGCTGGATACAGAGACATTAAACCTTTGTATGTGCTCAGGTGGGGCTTGGGTAAAAAAAAATGTTTGTAATGCTAGCGTGACGTGGGCGTTCGAACCCTGCACGCCTGGCTGTAGTTCATGTACTTATCGTTCATGCATGTTCTCGAACCTACCCGGGAACAACGTTTTTTCCTCATTCTGCACAAGGAAGTGTTATAGTTTGCTCCAATATTGCATTGCACAGTTCTTTGCCGATCTCTTACAGTTGAACATAATTGCCTTTGACAATGTCCCACCCGTTTGAATCGGTTGGTGTAAGATCGGGGGAGTGGGATGTGTATGGGGTGTCAGTAACGCGTGAAATTATTGGTATTTGATAGTTTTCCCGCAGCATGTCTAAATAGTCTCGAGCGATATTGCTGGTAGCCGCGTTTTGTTTGTAGCATTGTCTATTCACGTAAAGGCCCCTTTGTGTGAAAGAACCTTCTCAAATCCTAAAGAAATGGTTCGATCACAAAAGTTGGATTACGATACAAGCCGTTACTTCATGCATCATCTTCGTCAGTTTCGTCCTAAATTGGGTCGGGGCGAATGTAACACCTGCCATAGAGCAACATTAGCGTGAGGGTCATTTGGCGAAACCGTTCTGGTCGACCAAATTTCCCCTTCCGTTTGCACAATACTCTACCAGAAGACACAGCACACTACCAAAAGACACAGTATACTGCCAGAAGACACAGTACACTATCAGAAGACAAAGTACACTATCAGAAGACAAAGTACAATACCAGAAGGCACCACAGTACACTACCAGAAGACACAGTACACTACCAGAAGGCACATGTTGAGACCCGCTGGTCCTCATGTTTTTGAGACCCACTGGCTCACGCTCTATCCACCCCTAACATTCATAACAATAACATAAACAATGGAAATTAACCTGGTCACCTAGACCGTGACCCAGCTGAAAAAATGCGCGTCTGGTGAGGGCATCCCAAGTGACGCATACGAGATGCAGGGCACGCGACCCTGTACCCAGTGTAAAAGGAACCCCCCCCCCCCCCCCCCATTTCTCGCTCTCTTTTCACCTGTTATTTTTCAGTAGAGCCCGGCTAGCTATTCTATTTGATGAAGTTTGTTTATCTATAATTTGGCTATGTTGGTATTTTTAGTATTCACATGTTTGTAGTTTTATTAAGAAATTTTAGGATTATAGTTACTGTTAGATTATGATTATTTATTAACAATGTGATATGATTTTAATTCGTAGCTATGTCCTATGCGTTGTATTCTTTTTTCTCATTTCTAGCCAGTTCCAGTATAGTTAGTCCCAGTATAGTTTGTACCGTAGAGTTGAGTCCCAGTATAATCGAGCTCATTGAAAGTCACTATAGCGGAGTATAGTTGATTTGAGTTTAGTCACAGTAGACTGTAGAGTTGAGCGTAGTAGAGTCGGTCTAGTATACCGTAGAGTATAGACCACTTAGTACAGTTGAGTCAGTTAGTGGAGTCAGTCGTTTAGGGTCAGACTAACGCTGAAATTCTATTAGAAGAATCAAGTGTAGGTTAGGCTTACTAGAAGATAAATGTAGACTCTGCCAGGAGTCCAGGCCGGGTGTCTGCACCAGCCGTTCGAGCTAAATTGTCTACACCTACCACGTCGCAGTGGGCAGTGACCAGCGAGAGGGAGGCCAAGCAAACCAGGCCGTGTGTGTTTCGGACTTGACCGGCTACAGACGACAAGATAGCCAGTGTAACTTTTTCCATCGCAAATTGTATTAGCATTAGGCAGCTTATTTAGTTATTTCCTTATATGTGTATGTGTGTAGTTAATTCTGTTTATAACTAAATATTTATTTGTGGGCTATTATAGTGATAGTATTAAAAGAAGTGAGAGCGAGTGAGGGTGTCATTGAATGTTAGAAAGAGTGTGGAGTGAGATTAGTTTAGATTACTTAATTAGGAAACATAATCATACCCTAGACGTAGCCCTAGTGGCAGTAAAGGGGTGGGGGCGATGGGGGTATCAACGCTTTCTTAAAGTATGGAATTGAGTGTCACTACCGCCAACTTGTTTGCTAACCCACCTGTATCATCATGATGAACTCTTCCATTTCCAGAGGCTTTCTTTCTCTTACAATGAAGGCCCCAAATGCACCCATGGACATTTGGGTTCCTGTGTGAGAGTGGTACCAGTACGTCCCAACAGAGTCAGCAACAAATTTGTAGGTGAACTGTTGACCGGGACCGATGGGGCACTGTAAAGAGTAACCGAGGAAAAAGAAGACTACTGTATAGGCTTACAAGTGATTGTGAGTAAATGGCCTGATAGATAATTTATACATAATCAAGTCTAATACTTTCGGGGATAAATTAACATTTTTTAGGATGATAATAATGTCTGCCTGTGGTCTACACGACAATTTCAAAACGTATATTTATTTTAGACTTCCTTTACTCTACCTGTGTGACGAATGGGACAATTTCATTTACTCTACCTGTGTGACGAATGGGACAACTTCCTTTACTCTACCTGTGTGACGAACGGGACAACTTCCTTTACTCTACCTGTGTGACGAATGGGACAATTTCATTTACTCTACCTGTGTGACGAATGGGACAACTTCCTTTACTCTACCTGTGTGACGAACAGGACAACTTCCTTTACTCCACCTGTGTGACGAATGGGACAATTTCCTTTACTCTACCTGTGTGACGAATGGGACAACTTCCTTTACTCTACCTGTGTGACGAATGGGACAACTTCCTTTACTCTATCTGTGTGACGAATGGGACAATTTCCTTTACTCTACCTGTGTGACGAATGGGACAACTTCCTTTACTCTACCTGTGTGACGAATGGGACAACTTCCTTTACTCTACCTGTGTGACGAATGGGACAACTTCCTTTACTCTACCTGTGTGACGAATGGGACAACTTCCTTTACTCTACCTGTGTGACGAATGGGACAATTTCATTTACTCTACCTGTGTGACGAACGGGACAATTTCCTTTATTCTACCTGTGTGACGAACAGGACAACTTCCTTTACTCTACTTGTGTGACGAATGGGACAAATTCATTTACTCTACCTGTGTGACAAACGGGACACCGTCCATCCAAGGAGTGCCAATCTGATGCAGGCCATGCCAATGGATTGAAGTACCTTCGTTGGTCAACAGATTCTTAACATGAACGATGACCTTTTGACCTTCATAAACCTGTGGGGAGTGAAAGGAAACCCAGAATGTGTGACGTGAACACAGATGTGTCTCACTTTTAGAATCAGATTTCAATCCTGGCATGATACGGTTCTCTGGACTGTGGTGCCAGCAACGTTGCCATCTTTATTTGTGTTTTGAAAGCAGAGTCTTATTTTAACATTCACCATTGCCCCTGAGTTAAATAACCATTCGTGGCTAATTATAGAAAGACAATCTAGTGTAAAATGTACCTCAATGGGTGGACCAGGCATGGCTTTATTGACAACTGTAACCAACCGTGCGTCCTCCCAACCATCGGCAGTGATCACGTTCTCTATCGGCACAGCGATGGTTTGATTGGTCACATTGTACAGCTTCCCATTGGCTGCAAACACGGCCATTTTGCCCAACCTCATGGTAAGGTGATGCTCGATTTCAAGCCAAAACTCGCACGTGTCATCTGTCATGAGACACGTGGCCCCGACAGTGTGGGCGTGGCATGCAAGTGTCAACAGTATTTGAAGTAATAAATACCTTAGAATGAGAAGAGGGTAAAATTTTCATATAAGTAATGATAAAATATAATAATTTTAAAGGAACAGAAACCTAAAGCACAGCTTCTGATGGGATCTTGGCATAAAGCACAGCTTCTGATGGGATCTTGGCATAAAGCACAGCTTCTGATGGGATCTTGGCATAAAGCACAGCTTCTGATGGGATCTTGGCATAAAGCACAGCTTCTGGTGGGATCTTGGCATAAAGCACAGCTTCTGGTGGGATCTTGGCATAAAGCACAGCTTCTGGTGGGATCTTGGCATAAAGCACAGCTTCTGATGGGATCTTGGCATAAAGCACAGATTCTGATGGGATCTTGGCATAAAGCACAGCTTCTGATGGGATCTTGGCATAAAGCACAGCTTCTGGTGGGATCTTGGCATAAAGCACAGCTTCTGGTGGGATCTTGGCATAAAGCACAGCTTCTGATGGGATCTTGGCATAAAGCACAGCTTCTGATGGGATCTTGGCATAAAGCACAGCTTCTGATGGGATCTTGGCATAAAGCACAGCTTCTGATGGGATCTTGGCATAAAGCACAGCTTCTGATGGGATCTTGGCATAAAGCACAGCTTCTGATGGGATCTTGGCATAAAGCACAGCTTCTGATGGGATCTTGGCATAAAGCACAGCTTCTGATGGGATCTTGGCATAAAGCACAGCTTCTGATGGGATCTTGGCATAAAGCACAGATTCTGATGGGATCTTGGCATAAAGCCCAGCTTCTGATGGGATCTTGGCATAAAGCCCAGCTTCTGGTGGGATCTTGGCATAAAGCACAGCTTCTGATGGATCTTGGCATAAAGCACAGCTTCTGATGGGATCTTGGCATAAAGCACATATTCTGATGGGATCTTGGCATAAAGCCCAGCTTCTGGTGGGATCTTGGCATAAAGCCCAGCTTCTGATGGGATCTTGGCATAAAGCCCAGCTTCTGATGGGATCTTGGCATAAAGCACAGCTTCTGATGGGATCTTGGCATAAAGCACAGCTTCTGATGGGATCTTGGCATAAAGCACAGCTTCTGATGGGATCTTGGCATAAAGCACAGCTTCTGATGGGATCTTGGCATAAAGCACAGCTTCTGATGGGATCTTGGCATAAAGCACAGCTTCTGATGGGATCTTGGCATAAAGCACAGCTTCTGATGGGATCTTGGCATAAAGCACAGCTTCTGATGGGATCTTGGCATAAAGCACAGCTTCTGATGGGATCTTGGCATAAAGCACAGCTTCTGATGGGATCTTGGCATAAAGCACAGCTTCTGATGGGATCTTGGCATAAAGCACAGCTTCTGATGGGATCTTGGCATAAAGCCCAGCTTCTGATGGGATCTTGGCATAAAGCACAGCTTCTGATGGGATCTTGGCATAAAGCCCAGCTTCTGATGGGATCTTGGCATAAAGCACAGCTTCTGATGGGATCTTGGCATAAAGCACAGCTTCTGATGGGATCTTGGCATAAAACACAGCTTCTGATGCGATGGCGGGATTTGCTCAGTTAACCCCCCAAACAAGATAACATAAGAGATACCGTGATTAAAAACATTGACCCCTCCCCTCCCCAAATACTGATATTCTTTGTAGTTATATCAGAATTATGACTTACATTTTTAGCTCTATAGTTGAATGATTTAGGAAATTGTTGTGGTGACAGCACCGACCACACGACAGATCAATTGTTGGGAGGACAGCAGCGGCAACACGACAGATCAATTGTTGGGAGGACAGCAGCGGCCACACGACAGATCAATTGTTGGGATGACAGCACCGACCACACGACAGATCAATTGTTGGGATGACAGCACAGGCCACACGACGGATCAAATTACGTTACAGCCTGAATGTTAACAAACATAATGTGTGATGTGACTCAGTTACTGCTGAAACATTTTTTGGGGGTCTTATCCCAGGTTTGCGTTTGTACGTTTGAGACTTCATGTTCTACAATTAAATTCGTTAAAATTCAATAGTGAAAAATTCGGCCAGTGGCTATGAGAAGGGGAACCAGCTATGTGTACATATTTATGGGTCACTATGACTTGGAATATTTGTGGAGAGGAAATGTTAAAAATCGTCCTTTCAGGATACTGCAAACATTATACAGATAACATAGGGAACAATAACATGGGTAGGGTATTTAATTGACCTATATATATATATATATATATATATATATATATAAAAATTTTTTTTTTTTTATTGGAGATTGTCAATTATTCAATTTGCACCAAGATTATCTTAAAACTGGTGTGTTTTTTTTAAAGTACATATAACATTAAAAACGTTTTATCAAAGTCCAATTATATTTTATTTTACATAACCCACAGCCAGTGGAGGTGGGGGGGGGAGTCGAAGAGGGCGCTAATGTCGTCGTTAGATAGGACATTGATATTGAACTAAACAATACAATACTATGTATGTCACAAAGACAGTGGGGCGCCAAAGTCTTCATTATACCACCCCGAGGCTGCACTTTTATCTTTATATAGAGGGGGCATCATTTGCAGACTTCGCCCCGTGTGCCATTTTTCCTTGACAGAATCCCGACCACAGTATACTGCGATACGTCTATGCCTTTTTACTTCTTTACTTTTATTCCTCTATAGTCCACGTCCAAAACTGAAACGTGAAAAGATTCAAAACTCCTTTGTGCATTAAAGGAGACTTTTTTCATGATGAAGATGTTACGGGAAAAGGAGCTTGGAGATTTGTCCATTTGTTCATGATGAAGATGTTACGGGAAAAGGAGCTTGGAGATTTGTCCATTTGTTCATGATGAAGATGTTACGGGAAAAGGAGCTTGGAGATTTGTCCATTTGTTCAGGCCTAGAACGTTTCCTCAAGCCCTTCAACAATCAATGGTCACGTGAATTAATTCTTTCTTTATGTGGGACAGCGCGTGGGGGGAGGGGGGGGGGACAACTAAACATGGTGCTTCAAAACAAGGTCATTCTGACATTACTGAATCATCAAAATGTTTCATCTACTTTTTATTCCCACAACTTGATTCGCAAGATAAATTGTTTCAACGGCGTGGTCCATCCTCATGGCAGACCCTGTCACCAATCATTTTTAATATGGTATTTGAAAAAAAAAAGGTTTTTTTTTCCATTTCAGAGGGACAGAAGAATAAGATAATGTGCTCATTAGAAAGATTGCTATTAAAGTGCACACCGGCAACATAACGTTTGCAAAAATAAAATAAAAAATTATTTTTAAAAATTTTAAAAAACCTGCAGTCGACGTAACACGGGTCCGTAAATGATTTTAGTGAATCAGATCATGTTCCATTTCTGTGGATATTTGAACAAAATCCAAGTTGGTTTTGTCTGAACGAGCCAGAGCGTGATGTAGAGCAGGGTTTGCAAAAAGTGTTGACATTGCTTTAAAAGTGGTGTTGGGGGGGGGGGTAAATCAATGCGTGGCCAAGACGTCCGGTTTCAGAGGAACCCTGCATCATTTATTTGAACTAAAACCAAGAACGCCTATTTATTTTATGCCATGATTTCNATTTGAAAAAAAAAAGGTTTTTTTTTCCATTTCAGAGGGACAGAAGAATAAGATAATGTGCTCATTAGAAAGATTGCTATTAAAGTGCACACCGGCAACATAACGTTTGCAAAAATAAAATAAAAAATTATTTTTAAAAATTTTAAAAAACCTGCAGTCGACGTAACACGGGTCCGTAAATGATTTTAGTGAATCAGATCATGTTCCATTTCTGTGGATATTTGAACAAAATCCAAGTTGGTTTTGTCTGAACGAGCCAGAGCGTGATGTAGAGCAGGGTTTGCAAAAAGTGTTGACATTGCTTTAAAAGTGGTGTTGGGGGGGGGGGGAAATCAATGCGTGGCACAGACGTCCGGTTTCAGAGGAACCCTGCATCATTTATTTGAACTAAAACCAAGAACGCCTATTTATTTTATGCCATGATTTCTTTGTTCCTTGTAGAATTGAAATCATCCTTTCGTTTTATTTCAAACTTAAAATTTAAAAAAAATTATAATAATAATAATAATATTCCTTATCAGTATGGGAATGGAATCCACAACTTTTACACTGTACAATAGAAGAAGTTTTAACATTTCAAATTGCCAGTAAACTTTAGGTGTTAAATAGTGGCATTTGGCCCACTTGTTGAATAGTGGCATTTGGCCTACGTATGAAATGTTCACACGTCGAAAGTTATATAATTTATTTTTCTGAAGAAATTCGATCCATTGAAACGTGAAGTTTTTATTTGTGTAAATTTCAAGTTGTTTTTTTTTTTTTTTTTTTTTTTTTTTTTTTTTTTTTTTTTTTTTTTATATTTTTTTTTTTTTTTTTTTTTTTTTTTTTTTTTTTTTTTTTTTTCTCTTATTATCTAAAGTATTTCTAGGCACCCAGAAGTAAAGTTTGTTTTGCAAAGATGAACAGACAGAGGCGTAGCTTGAGTGTTTGGGGCCCATGGACATCTGTCACCCCCCCCCCTGGCTCCCTTAGCTACGCCTCTGTGAACAGGGTAGTGTTTTTCGCATGTCATTATCAAGAGACAATCCATGACGTCATCCATAGCAGGGGGAACTTATCCGTAATGCCCAGCAATCCCCACCCCCAATTTTGTTTTTCTTTCTTTTTTTTTCCTCTAAAGAATCGAAGGCTCTGGGAACAGGTACTTACTCGGCCTAAGTACATAAAGTTCGACGGTAGAAACCTACCAGGACCCCCTTAACCATCGTATGTTTGCTAATTCTGAACTTGCCTTTGGGTGCGCAAGACGGCTTTTGAATTGTAACAGTCAGAAGGTGAACCTAATGAAAATGGGAAGCTTTGTAAGATGTGGGAAATTCACACGGTTTAATGTTATTATTTTCCCCTATCAACCTTAGCCAGTTTCGTCGCGTCGCGTGCCATTTTGAAATATAAACTCTTGACCTACACAGCATTTAAGACAGTGGTTCTTAACCTGGGTTCGATCGAACCCCAGGGGTTCGTTGAGTAAGTCTCAGGGGTTCGGTGAGTAAGTCTCAGGGGTTCGGTGGAGGTAAAAAAAAATATTTTTTTTAAAATCAGTTTTTATTGTTCCTATTACGAAGGGTTCGATGAATGCGCATATGAAACTGGTGGGGTTCAGTACCTCCAAAAAGGTTCAGAACCACTGACTTAAGAGAAGGCAAATATTGATCTAGAGAGCACTTAACAGAAGGAAAATATTGGACAAGTATTTCTAGTTCACGCCAAATTCTGTTCATGAACAAGACACTCCTCGTTCTTAGACAAATAAAAGGACACTGACATAACATGTATCATGTTCATAGACCATTAAGCTGTTACGTTCATAAAAAAACAACATAGATCCAGAGATGACGTTGCGCTCAGCGACACATTGACACTTGTGCGTTGAAAGACACCGACAAATTATATTCAGATATTTGAATATCTTGTGTGTCATTAAAGACATCACTGCATTTCTTATGGAGTACGGTAAACTAGACATTCCTTTAAACATGGATAATTCCCCGTTAATAATATATATATATATATATATATATATATAAATACTGTGTCTCCCTGTAAAACTATTAAATACTGTGTCTCCTTGAAAAACTATTAAATACTGTGTCTCCTTGTAAAACTATTAAATACTTTGTGTCATTGTAAAACTATTAAATACTGTGTCTCCTTGTAAAACTATTAAATACTGTGTCTCCCTGTAGAACTATTAAATACTTTGTGTCACTGTAAAACTATTAAATCCTGTGTCTCACTGTAAAACTATTAAATACTTTGTGTCATTGTAAAACTATTAAATACTGTGTCTCCTTGTAAAACTATTAAATACTGTGTCTCCCTGTAAAACTATTAAATACTTTGTGTCACTGTAAAACTATTAAATCCTGTGTCTCACTGTAAAACTATTAAATACTGTGTCTCACTGTAAAACTATTACATACTTTGAATCACTGTAAAACTATTAAATACTGTGTCTCACTGTAAAACTATTACATACTTTGTATCACTGTAAAACTATTAAATACTGTGTCTCACTGTAAAACTATTAATACTGTGTCTCACTGTAAAACTATTAAATTCTGTCTCCCTTAAAAAATAACTACTATCAAATGCTGTGTCTCCCTGTAAAACTATCAAATGATGTGTCTCCTTGTAAAACTATTAAATACTGTGTCTCACTGTAAAACTATTACATACTTTGTATCACTGTAAAACTATTAAATACTGTGTCTCACTGTAAAACTATTACATACTTTGTATCACTGTAAAACTATTAAATACTGTGTCTCACTGTAAAACTATTAATACTGTGTCTCACTGTAAAACTATTAAATTCTGTCTCCCTTAAAAAAAACTACTATCAAATGCTGTGTCTCCCTGTAAAACTATCAAATGCTGTGTCTCCCTGTAAAACTATTAAATACTGTGTCTCCTTGTAAAACTATCAAATGCTGTGTCTCCCTGTAAAACTATCATATGCTGTGCCACTAAATAAGTCATTCACTCTTGTCCCCCGCTGTTTATCTGGTAAGCCTTAAACCCACTTGAATATCTAGACGGAGGGTAGTGAGAAAATATATCGTTTTCGCCATTCAAGTGTTATTGAAGCCAGTCCGTGGACCCCCAAGAGGGTTTTTTCTATTGCGATAGAAAAAAAGGTCAACCTAATAAAATTGAGAGATCGCGTTTTTCTCTTTTATCTGAATGCTGTCCTTGGCGAAATAAAATCCTTCGCAAACTCACATGATACCCTTTAATGAGTTTATTCATTTTTTGGACGTCTTCCGAGCAGTGCAGATTAGCAATTTTGAAATAAAGATTAACGCTTACCTCTACGCTGGTCAGGTGGTCCGAGATTTTCTCAAGATGAGATAAGTAACCATTCAAAAATGTAAGAAGAGCTGATTCAACTCGCTCGTCGTATGACCTGGCGCAGACATAAACTAATAGGAGGATGGGGGTCGTGTGGTTGAAGCGTCATGGACCAATGGGGGAAAAAGGAACTGCCCAGAAAAAAGACACATGTGACACGGCCGACACTTAACTTGTGTCGTGATACGGGATTTCCGGTATATAATTCCTTAATATTTGAGTGCATTTGGATGGGGCTTGGTGGGGGGGGGGGTTGACACACCCCCCACCGTTAGTGTTTATTTTCTTTAGGATTTCTCTACCTCAGTTGTCCCAAATTTCCGCTTGCTTGCTTTTTAAATATGAAAAAATGAAAAGAATTACAACAAGTTCTTGGGTAAAAACAACACCAACAACAACAATTTCTTCTCAGTGGCGCCATTCAACGGGTGCTGGGATGGCGATCTTAGTCTTTCAAAACAAAGATGTAGTAAGTGTCATCTAAGGATTGCACAGACAGGGGACTTCCACTTCCAGCAAAACAAAGCCTCAAAACCAACAGGCATACATCTCTATGGTTAGCCACCTTTCATTTCAACGAGTATGTGTAGAAAAGGTTACTTTTTAAAAAAAAAATATAAATATGTTTCCGTTTCCAAAGTTAAGAACATGAACTAAAATGATATAAGTGAACTTAACAGGAAGTGGGTTTTTTTTAAATTTTGTTGGATGGGGTGCTTTGGTGGAAAAGAAAAGGGGGGGGGGGGCGGGAGAGGGTCTTTTGTTTGACTGGAGACAGAAAACTGCTTTGTGTCAAGAATACATGTTGACTTTGAAATCAGCTTAAAGTCCCATAAGAGCATTAAAAGGAAAAATGCCTGGAAATTCTGCCACTTGTTTAATTCATTAATCTGAATAATTTGAAGAACAAGTTTTGGCACAAGTTAAACATTACATTAAATTAAATAAAAAATTTAATTTTCAAAGCCGCAAATTTACCAGCATTTAATCAGTAAATTTGAAAAAAAAAACTTCAATAACTGTGCTAATGGTGATCATAGTTCTGCAGCAGAAGATTGTATATGCAAAAACCTCAATCTATTTTTAGTTACCCGATTTAAGTGCTAATTATAACCTCATTTTATAAAAATAATTATCAGCGTCACCTTGCAAAATGTTCAAACAGTAGGATTGGCTTCTGTTGCATAGATATGACCATTTGACTCCGGGTAAGCAAAGTTTTTGTCAAGAGACCGCCATGGAAACTGTGTTTATTTTGCGGAACTTGTAATCGACGTCACATGCACCATGACGTCACATATATCATTTAAGAGGTGATTTCAAATAATCTACATAACTTCCCAAATAAACAATGTTGTCAACTGCACACTGTGTTTATTACATTTTTTCAAAAGCCTTTTACAAATAATCTTTTAAAATGTGTAAATTTTATTTAATCCAGTTCCCGAAAGGTTTAAAGGGCAGCATTACACGTTTCAGCGGGCCGCATTCATTCCGCGGGCCGTAAGATGCACACCCCAGCGTTAGAGTGAGGATTTAGAACATGCAGCCTTCATTTACGGACCAACGCAAATAATAACTTCAGACACCGAGTCATCGGGTCATGACGGCGTCAGATCCGGTCCTGGAAAAAGTCGGGTGCACCCAAAGGAATTAAAATGAACTGTCTCTTTATTTGATCTGTCACCTGATTTTAACGTCAAGTGAAGGGCATAGAATTACTTACACTGGCCAATCTGTGGGACACATTTCTTCCTGTTCTATTTATAATTATTCCTACACTGTTTACTTGAGTTAAAAACTGGTTCCTAAAGTGGGCTGTCAAAGTGGTGTGTGTGCGGGTGTGTGTGGCTGGGAGAGGGGGGGGGGGGCTCAAGGAGGCAAGGGAAGTGGAATGTCTCGGTGGAAGTAGGGGTATTTCAGGTGATGTATTTTAGGGTTGAAACAAAAATTTGGCGAATAGCAACATCATAAACATGAACATTACTACCTGGGCTGTCAAAGTGGTGTGTGTGCGGGTGTGTGTGGCTGGGAGAGGGGGGGGGGGGCTCAAGGAGGCAAGTGAAGTGGAATGTCTCGGTGGAAGTAGCGGTATTTCAGGTGATGTATTTTAGGGTTGAAACAAAAATTTGGCGAATAGCAACATCATAAACATGAACATTACTACCTTAAACATATTATCATAAATATCACAAACATGAACATCACCAACATGAACTTCACCAACACGAACATCACCAACATGAACATCACCAACATGAACATCACCAACATGAACATCACCAAGACGAAAATCACCAACACGAACATCACCAACACGAACATCACCAACACGAACATCACCAACACGAACATCACCAACACGAACATCACCAACACGAACATCACCAACAGGAACATCAACAACACGAACATCACGAACAGGAACATCACCAACACGAATATCATCAACATGAACATCACCAACAGGAACATCACCAACACCAACATTACCAACAGGAACATCACCAACACGAATATCATCAACATGAACATCACCAACAGGATTATCACCAACATGAACATCACCAACAGGAACATCACCAACATGAACATCACCAACACGAATATCACCAACACGAACATCACCAACATGAACATCACCAACATGAACATCACCAACAGGAACATCACCAACATGAACATCACCAACATGAACATCACCAACATGAACATCACCAACATGAACATCACCAACATGAACATCACAAACAGGAACATCACCAACATGAACATCACCAACATGAACATCACCAACATGAACATCACTAACATGAACATAACCAACATGAACATCACCAACATGAACATCACCAACATGAACATCACCAACATGAACATCACCAACATGAACATCACAAACATGAACATCACCAACATGAACATCACCAACATGAACATCACCAACATGAACATCACTAACATGAACATCACCAACATGAACATCACTAACATGAACATCACTAACATGATAGAACGATTATTTTAAAAAAAAATTATATTATTAAGCAATGTTGAGAATACCGGATGTCCAAGACTTGACCGGCGTATTTGGAAGGCTACGTTAGAGAAGTAGAGGCAGATTTGTTTGTGGAGGTTGATAGCTGTAGGCTGTAAGGAGTTTAGGTTTTGTATACACAAATTGGGTGACATTGAATAGTTTGAGAAGCACTGCAACAATTTTTGTGCTTGTAAGAATAAAACAGCAACAACAACAACGCATTGCCGACATAGGATTCAATCAAAGTTGTTCATATTAATCCTTATATAATGCATTTTTATTATTTTACTAGCAAGTACCCGGAAACCGTTGAATGCCCCTCAAAGAAAGAAAGTGTTTGTTTTAATTATGCTTTTTCAGTACTTTTAATAGAGACAATATTTTTTTTTGTTTTTTTTACGTCTAAAGCTTACGCGAATAAATTAGAAGGTACACCCCTCTTGCAGCGGTTGATCCACCCATGCAATAGCTCAGTTTGAAAGTATATTTATATAGCTTATATAATAAAATAAAATAATAATTTAGGGCCCCCGGCCCCAAACGGATATTGTTAAATGCTTGTACTAATTCAGAAACCTACTTATTAATGTCACAGACAAACTTAAATGTTACTGTTTGTATTTGATTCAATTCCATCCCCCATGAAAAATCTCTGTTTGAAAGAAATTATATTTATATAGCTTTATATACTAAAAAAAGAATTTAGGGCCCTTGGCCCCAAACGGAATATTGTAAAATAGTTGTACTAATTCAGAAACCTTTGCGGGCATACGCACGACATCTCACCAAATTTTTATCGCAATCGGATGAATGGTATAGGAACGCATACGGAAATTATATTTACATACCCTATGTAAGAAAAAAAAACAAAGTTAGGGCCCCTGGCCCCAAGCGGAAAATTGTAAAATGGTTGTAATATTTTAGAAAAAATGCGGGCTTGCGGAAAGCAACTCACCAAAGTATTATCGCAATCGGAATAATGGTATAATAATGCATACGGGCCATGAATACAGACATTCATTTATATATATAATAATATATATATTTAACATTCTAAATAACCACCCACTTTTGCACCGCAGATTTATTTCACCAACCATTGCAGACAAACGCACTTGAGATATTTTTTTTTTTTATGAAACTCATTTAGCTCAGGTATAGGGATTTTTATTCCGTGGCATCAGTGGCATCAGTGGCATCAGTGGCATCAGTGGCATCAGTGGCATCAGTGGCATCACGTTTCCTTCATCGTCTCCTTGAAAAAACAGGAAAAATTGATCTTTTTGGGGTTGGGGCTGAAAATTTGTTCGAATGTGTCGTCATCGGCAACGCTTGTATCCGCCAAGTTTTATCTCTTTAGATTGGCGGGAAGTGGGTCAATTAGCATTCCGAAGATTTTGCCAGCCAAAAACACGCGAACAAAAACGAAGTAAGTAAAACGGATTTTAAAATATCTTTGATGAGAAAGACTGAACACCTGGACTTCATAATACAGAGCCTTTATTGAACGTGCATGGATAAATATTTGGATGATACATCAAAAGATTTTTTAAAACAAGAAGTTGAAGGCAAACCCCCTTTTCCATACCGTATTAATACAAACACCATTAATTGAAATAAGCAACTACTTGGAAAACGATTCTCCTGTAGCCATATATACGCCGAATATAACATTACATATACAATTACGGTACGACACTAGTCCGATAATAAATGAAATCTTATGTGACATACAACAGCGACAGGGAACAATTTACTTTAATGGTCTAAAGAAATTCACTTTAGAATACACACTCCGCAGATATGATCTTGTGTCATCCACTGACGCACATACTCTGAAGATATGATCTTGTGTCATACACTGACGCGCCTTTGAACATGGAATTTCTGTTCTGGCGCTAGCTAACAGCACCCCCCCCCCAAACCCGGGGTTGTCAAAGAGTGGACAACCTTGGTCGTATCGTCCTCGGGCCTATTGTATTAAATGTTCAAAAGATGCTTCAGATTATTTCTTGATACGCCACTCTGATAAGTGTATAGATATAAGCTATTATTTAAATTTTCTTCCTGGTAAAAGCTATTTTCTTTGAGGGAACGTCTGGAAACTTCT